GTGACAATATACAGCCTTGACGTACTCCTTTGCCTATTTGGAACCAGTCTGTTGTTCCATGCCCAGTTCTAACTGTTGCTTCCTGACCTGCATACAGGTTTCTCAAGAGGTAGGTCAGGTGGTCTGGTATGCCCATCTCTTTCTGAATTTTCCACAGTTTATCGTGATCCACACAGTCAAAGACTTCGGCATAGTCAATAAAGCAGAAGTAGATGTTTTTCTGGAACTCTCTTGCTTTTTCGCCGATCCAGCAGATGTTGGCGATTTGATCTTTGGTTCCTCTGCCTTTTCTAAAACTAGCCTGAACATCTGGAAGTTCACGGTTCATGTATTGCTGAAACCTGGCTTGGAGAATTTTAAGCATTACTTTACTAGCATGTGAGATGAATCCCATTGTGCGGTAGTTTGAGCATTCTTTGGCATTGCCTTTCTTTGGGATTGGAATGAAAACAGACCTTTTCTAGTCCTGTGGCCACTGCTGAGTTTTCCAAATTTGCTGGCATATTGAGTGAAGCACTTTCACAGCATTGTCTTTCAGGATTTGAAATAGCTCAACTGTTTCAAAAATAAATCTATTTATGGAATAGAAATAGACTTTCTAATATTAAACCAACCTTACTTCTGGGCTAAACCCAAACTGATCATCATAAAGTAACCTGTTTACATAATGCTGGATACAGTTTGCTAATAAGTTATCCAGGATTTTTACATCATTGTTCATCATGGAAATTAGTGTATAATTTTCTTTCCTCCTATAAATCTTTTCTGGTGTGTATTAAGGTCATATTAACCTTATAAAAAGAGAGCTGGAGAATGTTGCCTCTTTTATTATTCTCAGAAAAAGTCTGTATAGAATTGGAATAAATCGTTATATATATATATATACCTACATACATATATACATCAACTCTTCTTTATCCATTCATCTGTCAAGGATATTTAGGTTCCTTTCATGTCTTTGCTATTATAAATAATGCTGTATGAACATTGGCGTGCATGTATCTTTTTGAATTAGAGTTTTCTTCTTTTCTGGATATATGCCCAGGAGTGGGATTGCTGGATCATAAGGTAACTATTTTTAGTTTTCAAAGGAACCTCCATACAGTTCTCCCTAGTGGCAGCATCAATTTACATTCCCAACAACAGTTTAAGAGGGTTGCCTTTTCTCCATACACCCTTGTTCTACTTTTCTTTAAATGCTTGTTTTATACATTTTTAAATTTAAGTTTAATTTCCAGTCTTTACTCTTTAATATAAGCATGTAATGTAATAAACTGATGTTGAAATATTGCTTTAACATTTAAATCTTTTGATATATAATTTCGTAGAATAAAATTCACAAATCTTTAAACCTTTATCCTGATGTTTTGACAGTTGCATGTCTATGTGGTATGAATCATACTGAGCTCTAGAACACGTTCATTACACTAGAGTATTCTGGCATGCTCCCTTTCCTCAGTCTTCCTCTCAGAGGCACTGTATTTTCTGATATCTTTCATACAGACTAGTTTTGCCTGTTCCTGAGCTTCATATAAATGCAATATTATATATTCTCTTCTGTCCATATTGTTGCATGTTATCAATAGGTTGTTCCTTTTTATTACTGAGTAGTATTCTACAATGTAAATATATCACCACTTGTTTATCCATTCGTCTGTTGATACTCAGCTTGTTTCTGGTTTGCTATTGTCGTTGTTCAGTCACCCAGTTGTGTCTGACTCTTCATGACACCATGGACTGCAGCATGCCAGGGTTCCTTGTCCCTTGGCATCTCCCGAAGTGTGCCCAAGTTCATGTCCACTGCATTGGTGATGCCAACCAACCATCTCATCCTCTGACGTCCTCTTCTCCTACTCTTGAACTTTTCTATCATCAGGGATTGTTCCAATGAGTCAACTGCATCAGGTGACCAAAATACTGGAGCTTCAGCTGCATCATCAGTCCTTTCAATGAGTATTCAAGGTTGATTTCCCTTAAGATTGGCTAGTTTGATCTCCCTGCTGTCCAGGGGTCTCTCAGGAGTCTTCTCCAGAACCACAGTTGGAAGGCATCAATTCTTTGGTGCTCAGACTTCTTTACCTTCCAGCTTGCACAACTGTATGCTACCACTGGGAAGACCATAGCCTTGATGATATGACCTCTGTCGGCAGAGTAGTGTCTCTGGTTTTCAACACACTGTCTAGGTTTGTCATTGCTTTCCTACCAAGAAGCAATTGTCTTCTGACTTCATGGCTGCAGTCACCATTTGCAGTGATTTTAGAGCCCAAGAAGAGGAAATCTGTCACTACTTCCACCCTTTTCCTGTCTATTTGTCATGAAGCAATGGGGCTGGATTCCATGATCTTAATTTCTTTAATATTTGGTTTTAAGTTGGCTCCTTCACTCTCCTCCTTCACCCTCATCAAGAGGTTCCTTAGTTCCTCTTTGCTTTCTGCCACTAGAGTGGTATCATCCACAAACCTGAAGTTGTTGATGTTTGTCCCGCCTATCTTGATTCCAGCTTGTAACTCATCCAACCTGGCATTTCTCATGATGTGCTTCGTGTATACGATAAATAAACAGGGTGACAGCAGACAGGGCTGTATTACTCCTTTCTCAGTCAAAACCAATCAGTTGTTCCATTCAGGGTTCTAACTGTTGCTTCTTGACTAGCATACAGGTTTCTCAGGAGATAGGTAAGATGGTCTGGTATTCCCATCTCTTTAGGTAATGGGCTTTAGGTAATAACTTTTTGTAAAATGTCTATCTTTTTACCATTTTAAAAACTAGGATTTTTATCTTGACATTTATTGTAATTTTTTAAAATATTTTCTGAATTTAGTACTTTGTCAAATATTTCTCACAGTCACTGACTTCAATTTTTATTTCTGAATGATGTGTTTTAATTAGCAAACATTCAATTTCCAGAAAGTCCAGTTTGTTCTATCTTTTTTCTGAATTAGTGTTTTTTCAGCCTGTCAAAGTATTTTTGAGCACCTCAAAAGACATGAAGATATCCATACTTCTATTGTTTTCTTCTGGAAGCTTAATGATTTTAACTTTTATGTTTATGATCCATCTTGATTTGTGCATGGAATGAGATATGTCACAGTTCTAAACTCCCCACTGAAAATTTTGATTACTACATCTCATTTCAAAATTTTAGTTTTATTATTTTTAACCTGCTTAATGAGTTTTATAATATCTTCATTAATATTTTTGATACCTTTAGTTTTCAAAGGCTGTTTTTTCCTCTGTGGCTATAAATTCCAATAACTGAATTATTTGAAAGTCTCATTCTTATCATTTGTTTCTGCTAGCATTTAGTCTTTGGCTTTAAGGGGTGTTAAGATTTGTGACTTTTTTTTTTTTTTTAGCTAGACTTTTATTGAGGGGAATTTTTCAAGCTGGGATTGAAGTGTGTTCTTTAAGATAGAAGCTGTTCTTATTTCTGCCAGATGCTCAGGAGAACTCTTAATCAAGTATCTTCCAAAATAAAGCTTTAGATAAAGGTGTTTGTTCATAGACTGTGTGAATCTTAAACCCATTAGGGAAAGGACTTAGGATACAGATTTTCATTCCTGTCTCCATTGGTAGGCAGGATTTTCCTTTCACTGAGGATAAAGCTTTTTGGGGTCCCTGGTTTGAGCAAGATTTCCTTGTAGATTTCTTAATGAATGAAGGCTAGTTTCTACATTCCTTTTCTCAACCTTTCCAAGATTTTTAAGTGTGTCCTCAGGGTCATTATTAATTAATAGTTGCCCTAGGATAACCAGCTATTTTGTGCTTGGTTAACTTTCTGAAGTGCAGGTTACATTCCATTTTTAGCCTCTGATTATTTTTTCAGAGTTAGTTTGATGGTATACTTAAAATTCAACTAGTATTTTTCAATGTCAATTTATTTTGAAGTAAAATGCTTGTTGAGGATTTCTACTCCACTATATTGTCACAAATTGAAAACTCATATTTTCTTTCAAACTGTTTACAGTCTCATCAGCTGTTAATGATATAATTCATGTAGTAGCCATTGACAACAGTAAAAGAGAATTGGAGGTATACTGCATTTCACAGTACAATTACACATTATACTGCAGTGCAGTGACACAGATGATGTGTGACTCATGATGTATCACTGTGGATCAAAGTGACCAGAGATTTCTGTTGATCAAAACATTAATGCTCCCATCCAAGTACTAACCAGGCCCGACCCTGCTTAGCTTCCGAGATCAGACGAGATCGGGTGTGTTCAGGGTGGTATGGCCATAGACGGGATGGGGAATACAGGTAAATCCATGGCTAATTCATGTCAATGTATGACAAAAACCACTACAATACTGTAAAGTAATTAACCTTCAACTAATAACAATAAATGGGAAAAAAATTAATGCTGCATTTGATGCTTAAGTTAACATAGAAATGAATAAACACCATCCTGTATTTTAAGGTCATGGCCTCTTACCAACCGGAATGTAAGGATTTGCTAAAAAGTCACTTCATTTGTAGACATAATGCTCACTATCACAAAAGAAAAGGAATCAAATATCCTCTGCTGCTGCTGCTGCTAAGTCACTTCAGTCGTGTCCGACTCTGTGCGACCCCATAGACGGCAGCCCACCAGGCTCCCCCATCCCTGGGATTCTCCAGCCAAGAATACTGGAGTAAGTTGCCATTTCCTTCTCCAATGCATGAAAGTGAAAAGTGAACGTGAAGTCGCTCAGTTGTGCCCGACTCTTAGCGACCACATGGACTGCAGCCTACCAGGCTCTTCCGTCCATGGGATTTTCCAGGCAAGAGTACTGGAGTGGGGTGCCATTGCCTTCTCCCAAATATCCTCTAGAAAGAAGCAAAAACTTGGTCAACTTAGGGTTATAGATTGGTGACAAAGATGTCTCAGAGGAAGAACTTTGGTAGAACTAGTGCTTCTGAGTATTTCACTGAAACAAGCCATTGATAATCAAATGGTTCAAACATTTTAAATTAGCTCACTTAAATTTATTTAAAAAGTAGTATCAAGTTATTACCAGTGCTCATGTGGTAGCAATATTGTCAACACTGCCTGAAGACTTCTCCTATCTTTCTTTTTCCCCCAAATCCTGGTGGATAGGCTTTGTGCTTTCCAGAGTTCAGTGACAGCACATTCTATTTCAACTAAATGATCAAAAAACAGAAATATAAACATAGTTTTACCACATATTTTTATGTCTCTTTTAGTAACACCTCTAAGCAATTATATTTTCTAAATACTTAATCTTTTCTATTTTCGTCCCTTGATAAATCTTCTTTTTCATCAGTACTATTCATATTTAGCTCACCTTTGAAGTCGGTTTTGTAGACTCTTTTTGGTGCATATTTCTCTTTGAAATGGACTTCCCAGCTGGCGCTAGTAATAAAGAATCTGTCTGCCAATGCAGAAGACACAAGAGATGTGGGTTCCATCCTCTGGAAGAGGGAATGGCCACCCATCCCAGGACCCTTGCCTGGAAAATTCCAAGGACAGAGGAGCCTGGGAGGCTACAGTCCATGTGGTCATAAGGAGTAGGACACAAGTGAGTGACTGAGCATCTCTGAAATGCTCTGCATGTTTTATGGGGGGTGGGGGGGTGGTAGTATGGTGTAACGGGTAGGTCCCTCTCCTACCTGGATGTGAACTATCCAAGCAGGGACTATGAATGAATTCTACTTTAGACCTCAGGGAAAACACTGAAAAGATACTCTATTCTTTGGGCCTATGTTCTGCTGACCTTCTGAATACTAGGAATGCTAGGACCAAGGTAAATCTAAAGGAAGTGTGCCAAAGAGATCTTGTATCAAGCAGGAAGGAACACTCTTGATTCACATGTGCATCTTCCCAATTCATCACGACCAGGCAAATCTTCTCGGCCTTTGAAGTCAAAGCTCCCTAGCAATGTCTCCACTGGAGGACTAGGAAAGTGGAAGGGAGGGGGGCTCTCCACGCACCCACTCCCCTCCAACTCTAGAGTCTGACCATGTAAACAATGTGTGAATCCCTGCTGTATTTAAAATGGATAACAAGCAAGGACCTATAGTATAGCACATGAAACTTTGCTTAGTGTTATGTGGCAGCCTGAATGGGAGAGAGGTTTGGGGAGAATGGAAACATGTATATGTATGGATGAATCCCTTCTCTGCCCCCCTGAAACTATCACAACATTGTGTGTTAACTGGCAATACCTCAATACAAAATAAAAAGCTAGGGGGAAAAAAAAACTCTGTGAATAAAGGTGAAAGAAGAAATACAAATGAATAACATTTCCCAAAGCCCTCTTTTTACATCCAATGTGAACTGAAAAGGAAGTGGAAGACTGACAGAACTTGCAGCCTGAAGGTCCAAGCCACGTCTCACTCCTTCATATATACACTGTGTATGAAAAGGTGACTCACGGCAAGAAAAGGAACCAAATAAAACTATCTTCACTGAGTTATTACACACATAAATAGTTACTCAACACACAGTTCAACTCACATGTTTGCATTTATTTTTGATTAAAAATATTACCTTGGGTGACCTAGACAATTAATACCCTAGTTTTAATGTGTTACATTAAAAAATGAGTAAGACTCTTCTTGCTGTGCTCCAAGATGGTCTCAAAAGAAACTACCCTCAACTCTTTCCAATCAAACATCTCGCTGTTTACAACCGACTAACTTTTAACTCCCATGAAACACTAAGCCCCAAGCTCACTTTCAGAAATACACACATCGCATTCAACCCTCATTGATCCCTTTGTGCTTTACTTCATTTCTACTAACAGGACAGAAGTTTGGGGAGTTGCCACATTCTAACAGGAACCTGGCCAGACTTAATAAGGATTTTTCACAGTAACCCAAACTCCACAGTATCACTGGACCTCATCACCATGCTGAGAAGCCAACACTAATTATAGCTATGCTGCTATCCTTGAAACTGCAATATAAAGATTCAAGACTGAGAACATAATAGCCATCAGTGGACTCAAGTGCCACCTACAGGCTATTATATCTCTAATTCTTTTCCTAGGACAAAATTAAAGGCCATACACTGAGAGGCAGTAAATCACCTGGCTCAGCAGAAACTAAAGCCGATTCTTATGACTGGACTCTTCATTAGTTTAAATTTAATTCAGTGGGCCATAACTACTCAACAATGGGCATAACTTAAAATATAGCAGAGAACAAAGTTTCTATATTATTATCAGAGAAGTGAATTACTTATTCTATACTATTGTGGTGATATATGAATAAAAGCAGGTACACTTAAAAGATGATATAATATTAAGAAACTATTAAGATGATAAAATATTAAGAAAATATTGGCATTAATATTATTTCCTTTCTGTGCTTTTTAACCTGCTTAGATCATTAACCTTTGGTAGTTAATATAAAATATCTCATTACATGTATACACTATGTCTACACAGTAGTTAATGAAGTGGTTATAGAGTATTAGGGAAAATTTGTCTGTATAATAATTACCTAAAATTATCATATTTAGTAAGTATCTACTTTGAAATGAGCACTGAAATAATAATAAATCTATTCTGGAGACTTGCATTATGCAATTTGTCTACCTAATGGAAATGAAATAATTTGCCTTATAAAATTTGGCTACATTAACTGAAATTAAGTGATTAAAATTAAATAACTTAGAAATATTTGTTTAGTTTCTACTATATCCTCAACACTGAGCTAGTTAGGAGCGAAACAAGGAAATGAAAGGCATTTTCCCCTATTATCAGATTGTTAGCACTATAATTGGGGAGAGGAGACATACAGATGAAAATGCAAAGATAAGTTCCAGAAAGCAGGTTTTATAAGAATTGAAAAACATAAGAGATAACAGAAGCACTGGGATTTTAACTGAGTCTAGAATGAATAAATTGAAGTGGAAAATAGTAGGGTAAACAGAAAAAGAGGTATGGTAGCATAAATGCAAGAGGTGTATGTGCTCAAAAAATATTTATGGTCAAAATTATACTTCTTTAGCATCTGCTCTGTGATAGAACTTTTACATACTTCTTTAGTTCTCACAATAACACTTTGAGGTGGCCACTATTATTATGCTGATTTTTTAGATGAGGATATCAAGGTTGAGAGAGGTTGAGTAATTTGATAAAAGTCATTGGACTAAGTAGCAAAGTTGGAATTCAAACCCAATACTTAATCATTCCAAAGTGGGTCCTGTGAATCACCATGGCAATAATAAATAAATCATCTGTATTTAAAGGATGCAGTGTATCACATGAGATAAATTTAGAAGTATAACAACAAGGAGACACATGGTGTATTCAAACTGGGTTATTCAAGTTGAGTTTGAAGCAGAGAATATATATAAAGGTGTGTGCAAAGATACAGGGAAACCACAAAAATAAGAGAGGATCCCAACACCAGTAAAATCATTTCCATCCCTTAGCCTGAAAGATGGAGTGGAGAGGGATAATTACCAAATCCGAAAAGGGCAGTACCTTGTAGCGAGGGATGCCAGATGAGATGCATGACTTTTCAGTAGAAAGGAGGAATCTGCAGGAATAAATTTCCTGACTTCATTCTCCTTCATTTCCATTTCTCACTAGGGTTCCCACTGATGTAGCTCATGCAGATCATCCACCAGGGCTACAGAGTAGTTGAACAGGGTTGGAGAATGGATCTGGAGAAGCAAATGGAAGGGAGAAGATACTAGAATATTCTCTGAGGTTCTCAAATATTAGGCTAAACTATTTAGACTTTTTTCTTTTGGGGATAAAGGATCAATAAATGCCCAGGGGTGAGGGAACTGCATATGAAAGAACTGCCCTGAGAAGATTAAATTTCCATGAATGAGGATAGAATGAAAGACTGGCAGCAAGGACACTTCGGATAAGTCTTAGCAGAAAGTTCCAGTGGGAGACTTCATGAGCCTAAGAGTGAATAGTAGTAGCAGAAGAGAAAGGAAGAGGCTGTGCGAATTAATTAAAGTGGACTTTAATTAGAATGAGAATTAAAAGAAGTGGACTTCCAACCACAGACTCAGTGTGATCTGTTGATGACAGTCTCCCTTCTTTTTCTATTTTGTCCCTTTCGGGATTTATTTTAATGGGTTGCTGCCTTTCAGTCCATCAGAAAATCCTTGGATAACCGGTCATTCACTATAAGAGCTATATATAAGTTGAGGGGTTAAGACAGTAGATCTCAGCATTGAGGACCTTACTTGAGTTGTTGAGGGGGAATAGGGAGAGGAATGAAAAGATACCACATACTGAAATATTACAACATGCCACTGGTCCTCCTTAGCAATTTTACATTTACATTTCCCAATACAACTGGGAGTAGACATTAGTATCATTTTACAGAAAGAGACATTTGTTAAAGTTCACATAGACAGTAATGATCTTTATAAATAACAATAACAACAATAATAATAAGTTATATACAAGACTTAAGAATATGTAAACGTTCACGAAATCTGGGTCTGTACCCTGGTTTTGTTTTATGTTGCGACTTAGTAAATCTGATCGAAATACACTTAGTATCACAATTTATGATTTATTTTAAAACATATTTTCCAAAATACATTAATTTGATTCCTAAAATAATTTGGTAAGGTAATATAAACAAAAGAGGTCCAAGCGATAATGACTTTCCTACAAGAGTAGTATGTCAGAGCTATCAAACTCAGTATCTTATATGTTCTTTTAAACCATTACATTATGTCATGTCTCTTGACTTAATACATTACGTCAGTATGTGCATTTTAGTACACTGAAGTTAGAAAGGGATAAAAGCCTCAAAACCAAAGCTGGGGGTGAATTTCTATAAAAGCAGCTTATTGCTTCATAGGTGTTTCCTAAATACACACACAAAAAACCAGAGACTAATGGTGGAAGTTGAAGTTAAGAGAGAACCTGGCTTCCTCCTTGCCTCCTGGGAGCAGTTCTCTCAGGGTCACTTGAGAGACTACCTCTTGGGCTTGAAGTCCTAAAAATTCCCACTGAATAAAACATAATTCTCAAAAACAGAGAGAGAGAGAAAGAAATCGAAAGGTTCACTTCAGGACCATAATTTTTACTAGTTTCCATAGCTCTCAATGACGCCACCAAAGTGAAGAGATACCTGGAATGGCAAATAGAAAATTGAATGGGCTCAAACCAAGTAA